ATAGGATTTGAACTTTTTTCTGATTTTGCAATAATTTCGTTACGGGGTGTTTGTAACATTTGGTTACGACGTGCTTGAATTCCCTGTGACAACTTCGATTTCAAATCTTTATATACAGAGCAACCTCTGTAGTTAGCAGTGTGATTTTATCCGCAATTGCTTCATTTTTTATTTAATTTTTCTTTCTTAAGGGTGCATTTAGAAGTGGGATGTAAATCACCACATACCACACAAACACTGCGCAGGGTGCAGTATGATTTAGTATGCCCATATTCTTGGCAGTTAGTATATTGTACCGGACCGTTTCTTTTATGTGGTTCTTCCACAGTTACTCAACGATGCAATAAATATTTCAAATTATATATTGGATGTGTTTCCTTTTTTTTAAGTTGATTTGAGTTCGCCAACAATTCAATTTTAAACATTGGCTATGGTACTTTGTTTCTATTAAATATATTTACAACTGTTTTAATTCCAAAACCGCATTCTTCCAAGGCTTCTTTGACTACACTAGCGTCTACGGCGAACTCTATACCCTTGATTACAACAATTAGCCCCGTAGAGCTCTTCAGTTGATACGAATAATAATTTTTGTTTTTATTTGACAAAAATTTAAGGATTTCCATGAAACTTTCTTCAGTGTAGGAATGAATTTTTGTTTCGTCTATATTGCCTTTATTCAAAGGCTCTATATGAAAATTGTTAGTGCCAACAATTTCACTTAATTTCGCAACAAGTACTACGTTCGCGCAAATATATTGGACACGTTATGTGGCATGACTGAGTCGTCGTATTGGCCGACCATTTTTGTAATTTTCATTGTTATTTTTAACGGTTTTTGCGGGTTGCGGTTTTATTGATTTATTTGAATTGGCACTTTGGCGATCTGGTTAGTATTCCGCTTTGAGTACGGAGATCAACTACCCGGATGTGACCGTCTGAGCCATAATGGAGCTTTTCAATGCGCCCAAGTCGCCATTCGGTAGGTGTGAGACAATCATCGTTAATAAGTACACAATTTCCAAGCATTGGCGTATTTTCTGATGTTTTCCATCGATACCTCTTGTGGAGGTCCTTTAAATAGTCTTCTTTCCATCTCCGGCTGAAATTATGATGGAGAATTTTAATTCTCCCCCATCGATTTAATAGCGATAGCGGCTCCACGCCTGGATTAGGTGTGGCCGGAATGGGGACTCCTTTGAGAAAGTGCCCACGGGTTAAAGCTGTTAGATGTGAGGAATGTTGCGAGAGTGTTGCTAGTGGCCGTGAATTGAGAAAGGATTAATAGTGCCGTAAATTCTTCGTCATTAAATTTGTAGCTTAATGTTACTTTTTTTTATGAAATTTCAAGTTTTTAGAACTGATTGCCTTTAACCACCCACATGAGGAGATCTTGGGGATATAAATTGCCAGTTAATGCCTTGGAGAGTGTACTTTGTAGAATCTCAGGGGAGATTTGTTTAATAAAGTCTACAAACTGTTTTTCTATGGCTCTTTGAGCCCCGGTAAAGGGTTTTTCCATTATCGTACATAAATTTTCACGGAAAACCACGTCGTCCGACGAAGCGAGTAAATGCCGCGATAAAAGCCTCTTTTGTCAGATTAGTACATAGCTCGAGGTGTACTGCTTTTGTCGAAAAACAGACACAGACAGCCACGTAGCCTTTTATTAGCGTGGGAGCCCTTAGCATGGACGCCTTTATCTGAAAAGGCCCAACAAAATCAATACTTCTAATAGTGAAAGGCAAAGTGAAGTTGCAGCGTTGCAGTAGAAGTGCTGCCATAATCTGCATTCTCATCTTCTGTTGATGCATAGTGCAGATCTTGCACATGGAAAAGCACTTTTTTATTTAAGGCTTAAATCGGGGAATACAGAACTCTTGGCGGATTATATGTTGCATTAGGCGATGTTCAGCGTGCAACATTAAAATGTGTATATACTTGAGTAGTAAAGTTGAGAAATTCGAGAATTCTTTGGTATTATTAGAGGATGGCGTTCGTTATTTGTTAGGCTTGTGTTGGCAAGCCGATTTTTTGGCTTTCAGACCATCGAGAGATGCTGTTAACCATCGGTGTCATTCCACCAAAGAGTGGTGGAAGCAAGGTGCAGAGGCTTGCACCTTCTTTTACCTAGATCGGCAGGCGTCGCCAAGTGGCTGATGCCACTAGGTCATGGATTTGAAACGTTTGATTGTAAATATATGTACGTCTTCCATGCATGTGGAGGTTTTTCAAACCAGACTAATACAATTTCGAAATCAGACCAGAGATACAATTTATGTTTTGCCATATTTAGATATATTTGCACTATGGATACTAATAAGCAAGTAGTAGCGCACCACATAGTTCCAGTCGTGGCAGACTTATTATTTTTAGGGGAACCACCTTTGTCTTGGCTACTAGTAGGTAACTGGTGGTCGCTGTGTCGGATTGTGGGCGCACATAGATGGTGGCACAATACATATACCTCCCGAAGGATGTGTTGGCATCCCATGTATTTAGTGTACAGCTGCAGTACATCGTGTATTAGCTTTTATACGTGGGCTCTAAGCTACCGCCTGTAGTAGCAGGTTAGTTACGAAATAAGTTTAAACGAATAAGCAATCCCCGACGTTGAGCGGCAGGAGGGGAGGACGCGGTATAAAAGCTAGCAGATCCGTTGAAGCTCCTGTGACTGTGGTGAACCGATACCACCTCTTAGAAATATGTGTCCCCCTCAACACGCATAGTCGTGATGAGTAATTCAAAAATCCAGATGCGATGGAACCATACTGGGCGGCTCCCTGGTTAGTCTCTGTTCACCAGGTTAGGTGCGGCTTTTAAAATAACTTGAAACCTTAACAATGAATTCTCTGTTGTTAGTTTGAAAAGGGTGATGTAAGCTTGCTCTGCTGAAGTCTTAGACACGCTGTTTGCCTGTAATCAGACCCTGCGGGTTCTGGTCAAGAAGTGTGTATTGGGCGTAAGATTAGTAGCCTGCGTTGCCCCAAGCGAGCGGCGGTCCGTCCAATAACAATAACAATAGCAGCTAGATCTCTAGACTAATAGGTAGCCGTAGCGCTGGAAGCTTGAGCGAAAATAAAAAAATTGCAAATCTCTTCCCAGAATACTACGATAATTGATGCAGACCTCTTTAAGAGTGCACCAAAACTGGGTAGGTCCGTTATAAAAAACCTTTGAGAGCGAGGTCATCACCAAAAGTGTTGGGCGACACCACTCCCTTGGCAAAGACGATACAACATCTTGGAGACTGTATGGCTGAACTAAGGAATAGGATCAGAGAGATTTGGCAATACCATAGCACCAGGCGTAGATGGTATTCCTAATAACGCCTTCAAGATTGCCATTAGGCACAATACGAGACCATTCAGAGAATTGTTTACGCGGTGTTTACAAAAAGGTGTATTCCCAAAAACATGGAAAAAGCAAGACCCAATATTGTGGAATGTGTTGTATGACGGGGTACTGTGTCTCCTACTCCCGAAGCAGGTGCAGATCATCGGGTACGCGGAGGATATTGCCATAACCGCAGTGGCAAAAGAACTTGGCCAACTTGAAAACATCTGCAATCATGCATCGGCGGCGATCAAAGACTGGCTCACGGCAACAAACCTCCAACTTACTGGACTAAAAACAGGAGCTGTGCTGATCACAAGTAGGAAAAAACCCGAAGACGTCAAACTAAACATCGACGGTCATACCATCATGACGCAGAAGTCGCTGAAGTATTTAGGAGTACTGATAGACAATAGACTCGCTAACACGGGCACATCGAAAAGGCATATGAGAAAGCACCACACGCAACGGCCGCCCTTGCAAAAATAATGGCCAACAATGGTGGACCAAGCCAAAATAGGAGTACGCTATTGGCCAAGGGAGCCAATCACTTCCTGTGTACACCTCGCCCATATGGGGAGCAGCAGTGCCCCTTTCATACTTAGGGATATTTTTCTTCATAATTTCGCATTAGACGTTGGAATAAAATTTTTGTTGTAAATGTATGCCAAAATTAACCTGAAAAACGCTTCCGAAGTGTCCTTTTTTAAAAAAAGGACAGCGCTCATTTCTGGTATCTAGGTTATAACCTGTAAAATATACCCTCAAAAGTAATACAGGATCATTCTTCAAATTTTTTATTTAACTAAAAATTTTCAAATACTTCACTATTTTATAAAAAACATTTTAACTTTAATTGTTTGAATAAAAGAAAAGAAAGTTAGGTTACTAAGAAATAGAGAGCAATTGTATATACTTTAGTCAGTTACGTGTATGGTACTTTTCAAAACCTTCCTTTTTTTTTGCCAGACAAAGGGGAACCTTACATTTTTGGCATCTTCCTCTTGATCGACTTCCGCAATTATTGCGTAAAACCCTCAGCGGATCATCTGAAATTGAAGGCCAGTGGTCATAGCGATCATAACGTATGTCATCAGGTGCATCATATGGTCAATATTTGGTTCCGTAAAAGTCTTCATTCAATTCAAAGGCTTCAACCTGATCAGGAGCTTCGAAGTAAGAATGAATGTTAAAAATTACTTGAATTTCGACTTTGTTAGTCCGGAAATCTTGCAGTATCGTCTGTATTCCATCTATGTATTATAGATTACAAGATCAAGAAAGTGAAAAACACCTTGAAAGTCCAATTCTTTGTCTTCATTTTATTTCTGTAATATTCGAGCATTTGATCACCCAAATCAACATCTCCCATAAACATGTTATAGTTTTCAATTACTGAAGGTATTTCAACGGGCAACCGGCGTTTCAGATTTCTACAACCACAAATTTCACAATTTCACAACCATAAATTAGAGTAAAGTAGGCAAATATGGACAACCAATCCTTTTTCGATATATTGGTCACCAAATACATGGAATAATACAATCAAATTTATTTGATTAACTCGAAAAAACAATTCATTTTAATTTTTTTTTTTTTGTGAAACAATAAGTCCAAACGCAAAATATATTATAAACTAAAAAAACGTAAAAATACCCATAAACGCGAAAACAAAATATTGGGGGCTAATATCGACCAGGTAGTCCATATTAGCCGAAGTGATTATTGTGGACACATGTCGCATATAAAGAGATCTTGTTCACAACCAGCACATTCGTCATGGCTCCAATTTTTGCAAGAGACACATTGAACCCATATTTCACCAGGCCGATCTTCCGAATAAAACGTAGAGCAATATAGGCATTTCGCATCCTCTTTCTCACCGGCGTTTACAAATTCTAGAATTTCACCGTCAGATTCGTCCCGGACACTGTAATTGTCATCCAAGTCCGAAGAGGATGAGGAATTTGTTTTCTTCCTTTTTCCTGATATGAAAATAAAGAATAAAATGTTATCTACAAATGTCAAATCAAAACCTTGATTTACCTGAACATCTTTCTCTTCCTGAATTTATTGATTTCATAAGTGCTTTGGAAGTGCTGGGTTGGCTCGAATTACCTTGGTGTTTTTTGGGTTCTTAAATAAAAATAGGGAACTAAAGTTTTAAAAATTTAATCAAAATCTTTATTTAAGCAGTCTTACCTGTACACTTTTCTTTTGCAAAATTTAGTTTTTTGATAATTCCCTTGGAAGAGCTGGGTTCATTCGAATCAATATCCTGTCGTCTGTTGGTTTTTCTTAGAGGTTCTTTTTCCGATGCTTTCTCCAACGAAATTTGTAAAGATTTTTTATAAGGCGAAGATGTTATCAATGTGGACTTTCCTGCTGGCCTGCCACGATTGGAAGGTTTCGTTTTTTTTATAGGAACCGGAGATATGACCCTAGAATTGGTTTCTAATTCGTTTAGAACTGAAAGATTTACATTTTCATTACAAATATCGCTTATTGGATGCGGACTCTCTACAATGGTTTCGTTATTTAGTATTTCATCTGGTACTTCGTAAGCGCTTTCAAACTTTCGAGGAGGAGAATGCGATGCTACATCATCAGCAGCTAAAAACTCATGGTCGCGAAATATATACCGGTTCAAAGGAAATATACCGGTTGTGCGAAATCCATTAATTGCGATTTCCCCACTCTGATCTCGCAAATAGGCCTTTCCATATAGCTCTGCCATATCGAAGTGTGTCAAAGCTCTGCCGCTCGAACGCATCCAAACACGTATTTCTTCCAAAAGATAACTCTTAAGAGGTCCCATGAAAGTTTTATCTAGYGGYTGTAGTTTGTGACTTGAGTGTGGMGGGATGGATACGATAGAYACGTGATTTTCTCTAGCCAAATCAACAAGCTCAATATTTCTTGTATGACTCGAATGACCAAGACGAGCAATACTGGTGAAGCTGCTGATGGTTTGACGTGTTTTGTATGTCGAAACCATATTGTAAAAATGTATGTTTGAACCCAACCGGATTGATGACATTCGTATATTGATCCAGGCGGCGCTCCTCTTAGCAACAAATGTGAGCGTTTCTTTCGTGGAAATATAAATAGTGGTGGAACAAATATTTCACCTGCACTCATACAAACAATAGTTGTTATCGTAGATTCTCTCCGCAGAAGTAAGGCCCTTCCTTGACAATACTTCAGGTAATTTTGATGGAACGACACTTATGCCTGTTTCATCAACGTTAAAAACATTTTTGGCTGAATAATTAAAATTGTCCATTTCCTTTCCAAGGATATCAAAAAAGGTATTCACATTATCTTTTGTGAAACCTCGTGCTCTTGCCAATGAAGTTCCCGTCGGAGAGCGGAACGCTAAATTTGGGTTCCTCTTTAAAAACAAGCGCAGCCAATCCTTACCCGCGAAATGATTTTCTTTCGAAAATGGGTGTATAATATTATTTTTTTGAGCCAGTTGATAGGCTAAGTACTTAACATCCATTCTGCTTAGACCAAATATTTTCGATTCCATTGTTAAAACGTACTCCATCAACATCTTTTCAAAATTTTCAGGAAAAACTGGTTTGTGCAGTAATTTAGTGTTTACGACCTCTTCGATTTCGGTGTCTTTCTTTAACGCTAGCCTTATTAAAGTTGACGTAGGGACATTGTACATCTTAGCTGCTTTCAGATAACCGCACCGCTGTGATCGTCTTTTTCATGTCGTCGGGATTCCAATTTTTACGCTTACCAGGAGCCAATGTAGGATATTAATAAGATGAACTTAAAGATAATCGAGCTAAAAGAGTAAGAATTGTTCTGCGGGTAATATGAGCCATTAGTCCATATTAGCCTCTATTGTGGTAGTCCATATTACAGTCAACATGTGGTGGCGATATAACTGAGTTTAATTAGAATCTCAACTATATTTATTAAACTATAACCATTCAAAATTAGCAAATAGTATTTATTTAACACACATTATTTGTCAATTTATTCGTTCCACAATAAATTTTAAGTAAAAAAGTAAAATTCGCTTATTCACATATAATTATCAGCAACCAATATTATAAAAAAATCACTATTGCTCGAAACTGAGGAAACTTGCGCGAATAGACTAAGAAATCAAACGACAATATCAGAGGATTTAACAACTGAAATTCAAGATAACTAGGTGGTCCATATTACCCTCGTGGTCCATATTACCCACCTTTACTCTATAGGATATGTGTGTTTGCATTTTTCCAAATTTCTCTCCTGGGGTTGGGTTTAGGTATAGCGTTCGATGACGGTTGTATGACCGCTGTGCCCGCGAAGTTTGATTATTGGATCCTCTTCACCGTCATTTGTACTTTTATCGCTTTCTTCTCCACCAGCGTTTACGTTAAACGGAGTCCAAGTTTCATCTACAATGCCATCATCATCACTGAAGTCTATCTAAAATGTCTACGACTGCTTCAACGTCATGACTGTTGCCCAAATCGAAAAATCTTCCTAGAAATTGGGTAGATAACATATTTGTGAGCATGCAACGAAACTGTATTCTCTGTCTGAATAACACAATTGTGATATCTGTATTTTACTGCCCCCAATTAATAATAACTATCAGCAAATAAATTTAAATGAGCATAATCACTTGAGAAAATTTATGCTAACTTCAATCACTATCATAATTTAAGTTGTATATGTTTAAAAAGAATAAAACCACTCACCAAGTGGACGCATGTGTAAGCTTGCTAAATTACTCTTTGAACCGTATGCTAGAAAAGCGAAGTCTGCAATGCGGCTCAGTGCCATTAGAGTCACATGTGCATTTCGTACGGTATCCCATGAATCGGTTGGGATTTTAGCAAACATCATGCCACCAGATATAATGGCCACGGAACTCAAAAGAGTATACGACAGGTCTACAAGTCTAGGCAGGCCACTAACGGCTGAAGAACGGAAGGATGAGAGGCAAACAAGTCTCAATGAGTGGCAGAAACGATTGGACGCAGGTACGACGGGGAGATGGACCCACAGACTAATTAGAATGGCGCAAGCATGGATAGATAGGAAACATGAAGGAACAAATTTCTACCTGACGCAGTTTCTGATGAGGCACGGTTGTTTTAGGGAGTAGAATTGTTCTTTCTGCGAACGCAGCGAAGAAAACGCGCTGCACATTTTCTTTTTCTGCCGACGGTATGAGAAAGATAGAGATGATGTACAGAAACTGACAACGGCACGAGTGACAACGGGTAACATAGTGCGGTTCATGACTGAATCGAAACAAGTTTGGGATAGTGTGACAGAATGGTGTGCTATAGTTCTGAAAGAGCTAAGAAGGAAAGAGTGACAACGCAAAGAAATTAGAAGGATGAATGAGGAATACTCCAAAATGTTGTGATTGCCGACCCGAATGGCTAAGCTTGGCCTCACGATAAAATGCTTAAAGCCAGTTCCGTGAGGCAAATAAATAAGCAAAATAATGGAGTTAAGGGTTTAGTACGTAGGCGTATTGGTCTCCGCTTCAGCGGCCAATACGAATCGTGCATACCGTCCGAGAAAAAAAGAAAAGAAAGAATACTATTTACTTTTTATAATTTTTTCGCCAGGACTGATTTCCTCCATTGTGTTTTAAATGGAGGTATTCTTCTAAGACAACAAAATTATTTCAATTGCGAATTGAAGTACTCGTTTGAGATTTCCTCAATTTGAGTTGTTATTGTTGTGACTGGTTCCGCAACTATTCCACTTAGGACCCACCCGAAAATTTTAGTTTAAGCCAGAAGTGTATTTGTAATTTTTTCAATACCTTCGAGTATTATCTGTGGTATGAGATCGCTGCCTAATAGAAGATCTATTTGAGCGGTGGTGTTGGAGTTTGGGTCTCCTAGCTTTAGGTGTGAAACCTTTTGCTAATGCTTGCTAATTATGCAATGGTAGGATATTTGTTAATTGCGGAAAAGCCTCTGCGTGTATGCGCTTATCCGATAGCCTGTTTTGTGCCTTAGACGCTATAAATGATCGCTGTGATCCTTCGTCTCTTAAGGCTAAGTTTAAACAGTTCTCTTCGGTGTTCGATGGAGACGACTACTGTGGGTAGTACCCTACTGTGATTTTCGCTATGTAGCGTTTGTGGTTTTATCGCCTTTGAGCAGAAGGTGCTTCTTGGCAGTTTTCTGAATTTTCTGTTGCAACTAAACCTGTTGCCATGTCCGTCTGTTCGTCTGTCTGTATATGTACAAACTAGTCCCTCAGTTCTTAAGAAATTTTGCAAACGTCATTTTCTCTTCAGGAAGCTGCTCATTTGTCAGAACTGCAGATATCGGATCACTATAACATATAGCTGTCATACAAACGAATGATCGGAATCATGTTCTTCTATGGAAAACTTTCACATTTGACAATGTATCTTCACAAAAATTGGCAAAGGCTATAATAATGTAATATACGAAGAAATTGTTTAGATCGCCTTACTGTAGCTCATAACAGCCACCAAACTGAACGATCGGAATCAAGTTCTTGCATGGGAATCTTCCTCATTTGACGATACATCATCACGAAATTTGGTATGAGTTAATGTTTATAGAAATAATGTAATATCGAAAGAAATTGTTCAGATCGGCTCCCTATAGCAAACAGCTGCCATACAAACCAAATGCTGGTATGAAAAACTTTTGCATTTGAGGTGATATCTTCGCGAAATTTGACATGGATTACTGCTCAAGGTAATAATATAATATTCGAAATAATTCAGATCGGATTACCATAGCATATAGCTTCCATACAAACTGAACACATAGTTATTAAAAAAAATGCACCTGTGCAAGGTATATTACCTTCGGTGCTGCCGAAGTTAACGTTTTTTCTTGTTAAATTTTTTCGTTTTTAATTAATAAAACGTAAAATTTTAGTAATCAATTAATTAGTCAATATTCGCATTTACCGCTTCGCTTAGTTTTTCGAAATTTTTTGATAAGTTCTAAAATTTAAGTTAATTTTGTACCCTATGTACGTTATATGTATATACCGGCATAAGCAAATCTATTTATGTGTATGTATAATTTTGAGGTATGAATAACGCGGGAAGAGAAATTTGGTAAAGTGCAGGTATGCACTTTTAATTTGAATACACTTTTTAGCAAGATGAACTGTAACTTTCAACATACATTTTTGCCAATAAAGAAAATTTTTATAAGAATTGGTGGAGTCGATACACTCACTTTGTGCCGCTTCAAGGGTCTTTGAGGACTTTACTTGCATATGTCGTTAAGTAGGGGGGTTCGGTTATGCCAGTGCGTCCAATTTGTATCTTCTTGGTTTCTTGTCCATTTGCTGCTGATGTATATGTTCCGTACTTATGTATATATTATTCCCAAAATGTTGGTAGTCTTTATTTTTCCACTTTTTACTTTTGAAAATTGTTGTATTTTTAAGTTTATTGTATTTTTAAGCTTCGCGCCACTTTAGATTATTTAACAAATTGTTTTCCGCGCCCGGTTTTCCTTTTCTTTTTTTCAGTATTGTATGTACATATATGTGTTTTGCTTTTTTCATCCTCTTTTTTTTATAACGGCACAAAGCTTCTTATTATTTTAATATTTTTTTATTTTGGTACAACAACACGGAACCGTTTCGTGTTTTCCGTCTTCAAAAGCATTTTTTATTTTATTTTTATATTTAGGTATTTGTCACTGCGCTTTAATTTTCTGCATTAAATTTGTTTTTGTATGTATGTATGTATACGTCACCTCACTTTAATTTTACCGCTGGCGTTTGTTCTTTCTCGAATTCGAATTTCTTTTTTCTTTGCAGCTCGAAGGACCTATGTTTAAGCCGTTGTTCATTTCACATCACCTTCTGAACACTTACCACCTTTTTTAGTTTTTTTTTTAGTAAAACGCCCGTTTTTGGCTGGGAATAATTATATTTTACTTTAGAAATTTCGGTTTTTATTTATGTTGTTCAAATTCGCACATATACAGTATTGGATAAAACTAAAGCATCCCCTACTGTTTTTTTATGACCAAATTTTTGAAAAATATAACTGGACTAGTTGGACATTTATTACAGATTATAATTATGTAAATCTATTAATTCATAAAAAATATAACATCAGTTATGTATACTTTTGAGATAAAAAATTTTAAACCAAAAACTTTTCAAAAGTATAAATTTGAGTCGACATAACTAAAGCACCCCCTAATATTTGTTAGGAAAAATAGTACCACGCTACTTTAAAAGTACGTTCTTCACTGAAGACGTTAACAATACTTATACTATATATACAAAATACTTACTCAGCCGACTTTACAAATAAAATAATAATAATAATTGCCAAAACAGTTTATCTCAACATAAAATTAGTTAAAAATATTCGGTTAATAGATCAGTGGTGTCCCCGATTAATAAATATATTTCAGCAAACTGGCAATGTACTTTCTCGGCACAGCTGAGGAAAACAGCGAAAAACTACATAATTCGATTCAACTGGACTGGACCTATTCATATAATAAATGGAATAAGGGACCGGTTTGTTTAAGCGAACATTTAAAAAAATGTGATGTCACCGTATGCTGTAAAGGATATGCCACTATAATGCTGGTTCCAGCAGGACAATGATCCTAAGCCTAACGCTAGGCGTCGAAAAACTTGGTTGTGAATTTACACAGTTGATGTTTTAGATTTGCAGGCGTAATCACTCGATGTCAAATCCATCGACACCTATAGGAGATCGTTAATTCCAAAATAAATAGAGAAAATTGTAAAACCAAGTATCAACCTTAAGAACCTGAAGAAATTGCTCGGAATGGCATACCACATGATATGTAGTAAATAATTTAAATTCTTCTATGCCTAAAATATGCGTTTTAGTTACCCAAAATAAAGGATTTGCTACTATTTTCTCATTTTTAATATTATTTTCAAACCGATGCACCCCTTTGCTTTAGTTTTGTCCAGTTAATTTTTAAACCATAAATGTTTTTGTTGTTTTGACTTTTTTAGTTTTAAAACGGCAAATGAAAAGCACTATTTTAATAAAAATTAATAAGTCCATTGAAATATGTCAAAATTTTACATTTATTTATTTTTATTGTCTGAAAACAGCCAAGTTCGACGTTCGAAAGCGACGTGAAGGTTCAAATGCAGACTAAAAAGAACACAATTTGCCAATGCTTTTCTTACGGCACAGATGTCGGGAGTTTACGAGCGCTTTGCTTATGATGTGCCATACCTGTTAAGGGCGGTAGGAGGACAAAAAAATCAAAATCTTTGGAATGGAATGAATGAACAAACATTTTTTTGCAGATTATTAATGGTGAATATTTTAATTGTTTAACAAAAAGTTATGTAAAACATTATTATTTAAACAAATGGATCGTGAAAAAATATCTATAATGTAGCACGAATATTTTTCTATCACTTCACAAAATTTCATCGATTTATCTGTAGTAGTTTATGATAAAATAGTTTTAAAATTTTTCTGTGCTCTAAATTTCAACCTTCAATAACTATAACAAAAACGAGAATTTTGACGAAATATTTA